AGGAATCGATTTTTTTACTGAAAAATGTGCTAGAAGTACGCCCAAAAAAGTTATGAATCTTTAAAAAAGAAAAAGACGTGTAGGTGGCGCCCCCTACGAGTAAGAGCAATAAGAACATCAGGTTCGAATTCGACACCTCAAAAACCTTCTATTACCAAGTTTCGTTTAATTAAGTTCAGTATTTCAAAAGTTACTTGAAAAAAACGAAAATAAAACTTCAACATCCTGTATCTTGGAAACGAAGCGTTTCTGGACATTTAATTATTTGGACAATTCATATTAGAATATTGTGAGGAATCACCTCCTGAAGTTTGTCAAAGTACTTTTGAATCACCCTGTATATCTCTTTCAATTAACATAAATTTTTATTTTTGATATTTCTTAATTTTCTGCTTATATCTTTTCTATGTAATGCTGACGAATGAAGTTTCAACCATATAATTTGCGAAAAATTAGCAGTGAACTGAAATTAGAGTTAATAACAGTTGATTACTCGTTCAATTATTGAAAGTGAGTGGTTCTTGAAGAAAAATTGAATGTCATCTCCAGCTATTATGGTGCGATATTTTTTTGTATTACCTTTACTGACACAGTGTAGGTTGAAGTAAACAGTTTTATTTTTATCCCGAAGTTAATGCCTTAGAGAGCAAAATCTTCTCCAATTCTTTGTTTGATTAGGCTAATTATTTAAAGTAATTTGACGGTACTAACGAAAAGTTGATTGAATTATCCAAATATTAGTTGCGATTGCCCCAGATTAAATTATATTTCCAACAGGGTAAAATAATAATTTGTTTCCCCTCTAATCCGTATGAAGAGAACATTACCTTCAAGAAAGCTAAGCATTAAGCCGGAATTATATTATTGTGTCGTGGTGTGTCGTGACGCGTCACAATTATATCATATCTATACATTTAGTATGTTTAGAATTATATTACTGAAGTGCAATATGTCGTGACGCGATCTGTTGTGACGGCGATCGGTCGATTTCCGATCGGCGTCAGAACAATGGTGGGGTTATGACGCGTCAGAACACTACACTAGTATGTTTCTAATCTGATGCGTTATCTAGTTAGAGAAAAGTCGTTTGCATTTATTTGTGCGCAAGATGTCGGACGAACTTATTGAACTTGTTAGAAAATATGGGCTTTTTTCCTTTCTTTTTAAGTAAACTTTACATTAGCAGGCACGCAAGATTTTCTTGAATATCACTATCCGAATCAGAGGAAAGCATTGCAGATGCTTGCGTGCGTTTACTACAAAGGCCACCACTGTATTGACTCGAAATAACGTCAGAACGGGCACCGATACGACAGAATAGTCTGCACACTCGTCATCACGTCAGAGAGCATTACAACACACCACAACATAATAATGTAATTCCCACTTTACTGACATTTTTTAAATATATTAGGATATCAGGATAATATTTCCTTTTTAAATCCATAGTAGTTTTTATAGTTTGAAATTCATTTTTTGTGAAGACTATACTAAAACCAATAATGATTGAGAGTAGAAGTAAGCCCAGTTGACAGCAAATCGGGGGCGTGCTTATTAATTTTTTGATAGGGTTAAGAATGAAAGAAAAATTCTTAGTACAATTAGTTAAAATATTCATACACATTTTTTTATTTATTTCATTAAAACTTTGCAATATCGTAATTTACCTAATCGTTGTAGTCATTAGGAAACGCGCTTTACTCTCAATCATTATTGGTTTTACTATAGTTGGCTATTATTTTTTCCACAATATCGTATTACAATTCAAGAAGTAACTGACTAATTTAGTGTCATTTTTCTTATGGATACAATTTTTATTACCTCAGAATTTTTCATGTTAGATTCGATAGTTTACTGTTTCAATATTTGTATAGATTTTCTAATAAATTTTAATTGTTTTTTAGGTTGTGGAAGATAATAATAGCTGGAAAACAAGAATACATTTTCTTAATTTCAAATGGAAATTGTATTTCACCGTATTTAATTTTTCTAGTAAGTGAATCAGTCGTTTCTTTTTTAGCGCTGACCCAGCTTTAACAGCTTACCAAGAGAAACTAAAAGTGGTTGAACACTTATTAGGGAAACGGATTGACACTGATTTGGATGAAGAAGTAATATTCTGTTTAGGCAACGGAATAAGCAGTTATGAATCTGTTCCCACAGCCATCTATTGTTTTTTAAGAGCTCAAAGTGAAATCCCTCACATAAAGGTAAAACATTTATCCACAGAAATTTATTTTAAATTTTTTATATACTCTTTTCTGGAACACAAAAATATGATTTTGGTTTGATATAACTGAAACATGTTTTTCTCATATTCCACTTTTTATAAAAAATACTTTTAAGTATAAATTTGCCATAATCATCACTGCGGCGTTATCTATGATCGAAATAGTTTTAATGGGGAACCAGATTAGCTCATCATCGTAGGTGCTTCAATGAATGAATGAATGATTTTATTTGGTAGGAAGATTCTAATACACAAACATAATATGCATAATATTTCATGTTATATAGACAAACATAGTAAGGTTATAGCACTTATATACATATAGGTACATATAAATACATAATATATAGATAGATAGATAGATAGATAGATATATTTTCACCACATTACATATATAAATACATTTATGGCATGTCAATATATTAATAGATACAATATAAAGTACACAATGAATAAAATTATACAATAAAACATATGATATTTTGAAAGTGTTACAAACATAATCAAGTGAGGCATAAATGAATAGTGTAATCAGAATGGAACATTTCAGAGAAGTGATGTGTTGAGTGCATGACTCAGTTGCTTCGTTGTGACGAGAAACTCGTCTGTGGAATAAAAGCAGTGTTCAAGAATATATGTTGTTTGTGCTTTTCTTGAACTGATCAAAAGATAGTGATTTGATTCTCTCCGGCAAGCAGTTATATAGATTGATATTCAGAGAATTATGTTGAGATTTGGTTAATCTATACCTTGGAGTTTTTAATAACTTAGCATACCTAGTATTATGGTCATGTATATCTGACTGGGTTTGTAACTGGTTGATATTTCTGTGTATTTCTAATAAGGAATTGTATATATATTTAATGAAGGTAAAGGCATGATGCCAAACTTCATAAAGTGTGGGTGACAATGTTCTCTGTATCCAACTCCAGCTAAAATTCTTACTGCTTTTTTTTGTTGTCGAAAAATGGTTACTGCACGAGTGGCATTTCCCTATAAAATTATTCCATAGTTTATCTGCGAATGAAACAGAGAGAAATATGTCATTCTCAGAGTATCAGGTTGAATTGCTTGTTTTAACTGCCTCAATAGAAATAGAGTACTTGCTAATTTGTTACAGAGCTGTTCTATGTGATTCGACCATGTGAGTTTGTCATCAATAACAATTCCGAGTAGCTTGACAGTATTTCCCATTTGTAAGTTCATATTAGAGGAGAAGGTTATTTTTTGGAATTTGCTTGCGTTCAACTTGAGTTTGTTTGCAGTAAACCAATTTTCAGCACGTTTTTTAATGTTATGAGAAGAAGAAGTGAGCTCCATAAGGTTTTTACCGGTACTCGTCAAAGTAGTGTCGTCGGCGAATAGAACACTTTTATTGGGTAACAGGAAGTTGCATAGGTCATTTATATAAATTACAAATAAGAATGGCCCAAGCACTGACCCCTGTGGGACACCATGTTTTATCGGTAGAAAGTCCGAGTTTCTTTGGTTAACAGTAACACATTGTTTTCTATTTTCTAAATATGAACTAACTTCAATGCCACCCCTCTAATATCGTAATATTTGAGTTTCAAAATGAGTATCTCATGAGAGACACAGTCAAAGGCCTTCGACAAGTCACAGAGTGTAATATCCGTGAGTACACCTTATTCCAGACCCTCAACTATGTCTTTTTTTTTTAATATTTCACTAGTCTATTTTTCAGAATTATTTCGATGATTTTAGCAAATATGGAAATAATGGATATTGGTCTATAATTGTCAATTTCTGTAATATCTCCCTTTTTATGTAAAGGAATAACTCTGGTAAATTTGAAACTATCTGGAAAAATGCCTTCACTGAAGATCAAATTGATCATTGATGTTAATGGCGCACAAATTAGATCTGATGTTTGTCTTATGATATGGCAATTTAAATCATGTGTATCTACCGATTTCGAATTTTTTAATGCATTAATTGCATCAAGAACCTCATAGCTTGTGACTCCCGTTAGGAAAAAAAATTGCATGGTACAGGAAAATGTTTGTATTGGATCAAGTCGTCTGGTATATTGGTTTATTATCTATCACTATCTATTCTATTGTGAAACCTTTCATATAATCAGTCAAATCCTTTTTGAATTGAAACAGGTTTTTATTATTCTTCACATTTTGGGGAAGTTTGTTATATTCCATGAGGCCTTTATATAATAAAATTTTCATGGAGTTTTATAAACTACATCGTGGCAGGTGAAAATTGTCATTTTGTCTAGTAGTGTAATTGTTAGTGGAATTTCTATAAGTGATAAATTCTTCGAAATAAGAAGGTAGCATATGGTTATCTTAAAAATAAATATCATTGCTGATCTGTAATACCTTTCACGAATAGACATCCACTGTAATGCACTGAGCATAAAGCATATACTTGCATAATGATTACATCCAAGAGCCACCCTCATTCCTCTGTTCTGTAACTTTTGCAGCGACATAATTTTATTTTGGTCAAAACTGCATAACAGCGTACCACAGTAATCAAAATGGGCCTGTATTATTGTATTATATACGGTTATTTTCGTATTTTTAGAAAGGTGTTTCGAAATTTTAGTGAAGAAATATAGCTTTTTTGAAATATTTTTAGTCATATAGTTATAGTGTGCACCAACATAAAACCTAAATATTTGAATTCTTTCATAAATTCAAGTTTGTGACTATCAGCTGTTACGGTTCCCAAAATGCAAGAGCGGATTTATAAGATAACAGAAAAGTAATGTATTGAAATCATATATTTATGCACAGTATCCACCCTGTATAACATTCAAAACAATTCAGTTCAAGTTTTTGTGCCTAAAGACAATCAGAATAATTCGACCTTGAATAACGTTGATAGGGAGAAAAGGAAAGGAAAAAGAAAAGGGTTTTTTCTCTGGGAAGGAGAGTTGAGTTTGGTTATCTTCTCTGGAGCAAGAATTTTGAGCTCATCACTGTGTGGATTTGAAGAAACCAAAATATTCCATACGGGAATAACTATATTTGGGTTATGTAAAGGAATAACTCGCCCACAGTATTGGGGATTTTTATTAAGTACCCGTTCTCTTGTCAAATTCCAATCTTCAGGCCACACAACAACTACGGTAAGAACCCACTTCCTGAAAGTACCCTAAAGGGTATATCCTTCTAAACCTTAACCTTATTTTAGGCCTTCTTATTACTACCTCAAGTCGATATTGTGAACTATATCCTGGTGTATCTCTCGCAAGGCTAGACCACTACACCCCTTATATCTCTGATTACGGTCTTCCGAAGAGCACGTTATCTGCATGGAAAAGATTATTGCCTGAGTGGACTGCGTACAGGGGTTGGATCGTGCTGCTGGAGACTATTCTCCCATATCCCATGCATGTAAGGTCTTTCCTGTTATGTATTACACCCTCCCGCACGACCTTGAATCAACATTGCGGCACAAATTGTGAATTCTAGAATAAACCAAGTATTTACCACACCTTAAGTTTAATCATAAGTTGCTTACATTTATCTGTGAACCCAAAAGTATACTTCTGTGCCATAAGCCTGTAATCACCATAAGCTTGGCGTGTTTAAAGAAACAATACACTTATCCTCCAAGTGGACTTATATTTACCCACCATCCCTCTCCGCTGAGTTTGGGCAGCCCATAATTTAGTTCCTAAGTAACAAAGTAACCCGTTTCAATCTACGACAACGGATGTTACACAGCATACAGGGAAGGAGTATTCATATTTATTTGTTTATATTTGTAAGAGGTTGTTAGAATCATAGCTTTCGTTTTCGAAGTATTTAATTCCATTTTATTTGCCGAAAAAAAATTCTCGATTTGATTTAGTGATGAGTTCATCTTTTCTATAGCTACTTTCAGGTCTTTATGTGCTATAGATAGTAACGTGTCGTCAGCAAATAAGTTGACAAAGTCACTAGTGTGGTATGTGTTTATGTCATTTATGTAAATCAAAAACAACAAGGGCCCCAGTACACTTCCCTGAGGCACTCCGAACTTTGTAGTGACTGGATTGAATAATTCACTTTCAATCTTTGTGACTTGTCGATCATTTAAATAATCTTTAAAGCTATTTAGCACAACCCCTTTAATCCCAACTAATTCTAATTTTTTTAAAAGGATATTCTTGTCAATTGTCTCGAATGTTCTTCGTGAATCAAGAAAAACCGCAACAACGTGTTCTCCCTTATCAATTGATTGTATCCACTTAGTAACAGTCAGTTGTAGAGCGAACATATCACTAGTTTTCTATACATTCATTTTCACTTATTGTTTATTCTTTATAAGATGTAAGAAGATTGGTTTCCTAAAATCATTTTCATTATTTGAATAATGGGCTAGCTTTGACATACTGCAAGTATAAAAAGAATCAAATTATGTTGAAAACATATATAAATTAATTTAAAATCTTTGGTGTACTGAAATATATAAAATTCCTGATGAAAATAACCTTGAATCGTTTTGGCTTGTACATTGGATAAAGATATATGCCTTCTATATGTCAATTATTGTGTTGTGAATTGTTAACTATAGAAAGATGTATTTAATATTCATGGTTTTTATCATAAATTACAAAAACATTGTTCAGTTCTTCAATATAGATAAATTTCGAGTCAAAATGCTGAAGGCTGGGCACATTATGAACGTTACCTACAAGTAGGCGTCGATGGATATCTCTCGAATACCTTTACTATCTTCAACCCTCTTTTAGTTGTATATCAACGATTATTGAGAAAACACAAGAATCCAATATATTGCTTTGCTGACGACAGCACAGTTGTCTCGTCATTCCATTTGGACTCCAGGACATCAGCTGCGGATGCACATCTTTACCAGCAGCGGAAGGTTTTATATCTCAATGAGGATCTAGAAGTGATTTCGAATTGGGGTGAAAGTAACCAGAGTCAATTCAATGCCACAAAAACAGGGGCATTGTTTTTCTCCAAAAAGATAAATGTCTCCGAACGGGATATAATAATGTCAGGACTGACAATTCCGTTTTTTCCTTCGATAAGTTTTTTGGTCGTTAAAATGGACACCAGTATGTCATTGATAAAGTTGTGTTAATTTTTCTAACAGTGTTTCTGTTGCGTGTCGATGTCTTACTCTTGCGTGGGGGTTTCTTGTCACAGCATACTTTCTAATAATTTTTATATTGTCGTCTTTTCTAGCAAACTTGTGAGTAAGTGACGGTAGTCTTTCCTCAATAGGGATAATACCAGTGAGTTGGTACAGCAGAGGGTTTGGAGGGTTGTGTTTGGGGTTATTGGGATGCCTTAATCTTGTTATTTTCCTTATAGCCGTTGTTTCAGATACTTTAATTGTTTTCAAGGCCCTTTGTTTGATATTGAGAAACAGTGGGTGCGAGTATTCAATAAGTGGACGACAGATTAGTATATACAGGCTGATTCACGGTGGATGGCACATTAGACATTTCTGGTGAACCAGACAACGGATCACTTTGAAAATTTAATGGAGGGCATATTCGAAAATTCTCTAGCCAACTAAAATATTTTCGACAATGCGGTGTTGCCGCTTCTATTAGAAAGCTGTAGCAACTTTGATTTTTCAAATGGAACACTCTGTATATAATATTATTTAAGTTGCTACTGCTTTCTAATAGAAGCGGCAACACCGCATTGTCGAAAATATTTTAATTGGGTAGAGAATGTCCGAATATGCCCTCCATTAAATTATCAAAGTGATCCGTTGTCTGGTTCACCAGAAACGTCTAATGTGCCATCCACCGTGAATCAGCCTGTATATTCGGCTTGCTGTCGATATGTTTGCACCTGCTTTCGGGTTTGTCAAAGTTGTGAAATGTGCGGCTCTTGCAATCACTTTTTTTTTATGTTTGCACCTGCTTACGGGTTTGTCAAACTTGTGAAATGTACGGCTCTTGCAATCACTTTTTTTTTGTTATTGACGTGGCTGTTGAAATGTAGTCTGGAATCAAGCATATCACCTATTTGGTATGTTGGAAAACGTTGATTGTTGGAAAAGTTGCGGAATGCCGATGACAAAATATGATAAAATGAGACTTAGATGGATTTGGCTGGAGCCTCCATTTATTGAACCAGTTATTTGTTATTGTTACAAGATGTTCCTAATTGTTAATAACTTTGTCTAACGTTTGATTGTACGCAATTAGGGCGGTGTCATCTGCATACTGGAGAATATATGCTTCATGCCAGAAGTGGTTGATATTTCCTTGTTGGTGATGATAAATATCAGAGCTGTATAAGTTATATAACAATGATGAGCGTTGAACCCTGTGGAACTCCCTGCTCTGGGATAAATTCACCTGAAAAACTACTCATTATTTTAACTCTCAGTTTTCTGTCAATAAGCAGATTCTTAATTGTATGTACTAGATAGTTAGGACAACCCAGTTGATGCAGTTTGACTAAAAGACCCTTGTGCCAAATGCTATCGAATGCTTTGTTCATACCCAGAAAGATCGCTGCCGTTTTGTTGTTGTTCAGCTTGGTTGTTTCAATGTTGTTCGTGAGAATCGTGAAAGGATGTATAGTAGATCTTCCTTGTCGAAACCCAAACTGGTATAGTATTTCCAATACCACCTGGTACAGCACAGAGAAGGAATTCCTGCCTTGACATAGGCGTCGGCATATTATTTTTCAGTGGTAGTTTTTCAGTTACTTATTCTTGCAATCATAGCAACTGATCTCCCCATGAAAAGTTATCTCAACTGAATTTTTCCACCATGGGTAATTATGAAAAACTTCGAAATTTAAGGTAGTTGATTTCCGAGTCGAAAACTCCAAAATACAATGAAAACACAAATAATCACACCGAATTCTCGTCAAACATATATTTACAAAATAATAGAGGCCAACAAAATTGCTAGAAAAATCAAAATTCTTCTTCGCTATATTCGGATGAGGTTGAATCATCATCGGGTTGAATTGAATAACGATCGGATTTATGGAACTTTGCACATAATATTTGTTCTCTTCTTTTATAACGTGGGTCACACAGTTCTTCCACACATCACTATTACCTACTTCATTCACCACACGATTTATACTGTCAAGCACCACAGCATTCAAAGTCGGTGACTGATTACATTTCTGCAAGCTTTCTTTCATTGTGGCCCAAACCATTTCAATTGGATTGAACACACAATAGTATGAAGGCAAAGGTAAGAGAATATGACCACGTGTTTTACACATCAAATCAATAATATACTCTTTTTCGAAATTACGTTGTTTTATGGTCGCCAGTGATACCTTTTTCGTTGAAATCTTTTCGGGTATTTCCATGTCATGATTTCGCATGAAATCAACAATATATGCTTTTTTTGTGTTATTGTTTGGTATTTTAGTCAATAACCGAGAATGATACGAAGCGTTATCCATAACAGTAACCGAGTTTGGAGGAATATTTGGGAGAAGCTGCTCACTGAACCAGGTTTCGAATAAAGCAGCAGTACGAAACCACTTTCATTCCCAACATGCAAAATTATAACACGTTTTTCCCTTGAAGAAGGTCTGTTCAAAGCACAATACTTGGTTTCGTCTACCCAGCCATATTTGACAACATCATGGGTGTCAAACCAAGTTTCGTCAAGGTAGATTATATGTCTGCTGGATTCTCGGTAGCTTTTCATTCGTCTCAAATATTCTTGTCGGAGTTGAACAATGCGTGCGATTCCATTATGACCATCCGATTGTTCAATTTTTTATATTTGAAACCACAAGACAATAAGACGCCTCGTAGAGTTTCTAAAGATTTGTAATTGTAATCGGGATAGTCGAGTAATTTATACCAAATCATTTCCAAGGTTGGTACTTCATTTTTCTGGTCCGATGTGGATTTTGTTTGTTAAATGATGATTATCCTAATTGAGTTTTCGGTAATTAACTAGTGGAACCACTACCTGAAAATTAATTTGTCAATTGTCAACAATAGATTTAAAAGCAGACAAATTAATTTGCAGGTAGTGGTTTCACTAGTTAATTACCGAAAATCAATTAGGATAATCATCATTTAACAAACTAAGTCTACATCGGACTAAAAAACTTTAGGTATATAAATCTAACCCTTGTCTTTAGATTCAGTATCAATTTGCTTCTCCTGAAGATGCTAACCTTGTTAGCGAAACGCGCGTCGAGTGCAAAAATATCAGTTTGGTGTTAGGGTAATTGATCTCTAGAAAAAGTTTTCAAAAATCGGTTTGCAAAACCACTCACTACCTCACCTAACCCCACAAACACACGGCACTGATAAAGAAATATTGTGAAACGGACAAATAATTAGTATTCAGCCAGTCCAGCTAGCCGAGCCTTTATTCCTCAACTACATTTGATAGCACGTTTACTAACTATCTGGGCGACTAGGGGCCACAGGCAAGAAATGTTTATGACTGTACCAGGGACGCTTTGAACATAAAATCACTGGTAGTATATACATTTCCCATTGTCCGGGCAGTGATTATGAACACCCCTCGTAGTGCTCTTATTTTTATTGCCGTTCCAATTGGGAATGGATAGACTATAGCTTGGAATTTTATCATTAAGCAGTTGGATTTTCGAATATTTAATGTCAATTGAAATATTTCAACTGAGGCTGTCGTACCACTATCATCGCCATAGTTGGCGTTCACAGCTCACTTAACATTTTTTATATATACTTCTACTAACTGTTAAATTGTAACGAATATTCTACCAATATCACGGGTGGACCATGTTTTAGAATTATCTTGTATTATCTATGAAAAAATATAGATGAGCAGGTGGTACTTGTCCATTAAGAACAATCATACTATTTCATAAGATATCGAATAAGAATGAGAGTGACTTCAATATGTGTTTTTAATTTCAGACGGATAATGTGTTTAGACGTACCATTCAATATGCTATCAGTCTTGGTGGAGATACAGATACGATAGCTTGCATGGCTGGTGCTATAGCAGGTGCTCATTTAGGAGAAGAAGCCATAAACGCTGATTTAGCCAGGCATTGTGAGTTTTCAAAGGAAATCATTGAAGTCGCTGATAATTTGTTTATGACTAGAGCAGTGAGCCCAACAACCTCATGAGATATTCAATATATATAACCCTAAGAAAATATTGGGATGTTCCATTTTTAATAAATGTTTATAAATATTATTTTGAGAACAATTTGACTTTTATTTCTGCCATCAAAGGAGTTCCACAAGGATCGGTTTCGAGACCATTATTGTAAAGTATACATAAAAAATCTCACTGAAGTCACCTCTGAACATATAAGTGCATGCTGATGACTGCTCGATAGTCTTTAGTTTTAGGAGTTATATTTCCTTTCTGGGGATTTTATGATTGATTGATTGATAATATGTTTATTGTTTAAGAATAATATTCTTGTTACATGAAGTATAAAATGTGAAGATAAATGTATAAAATGTAAATAATTAAAATAAAATATAAACCTTATATACATACATGTGCAAAAGTAACAACTAGGACAACGAATAAAAATATGTTTTTCATACACAGTACACATCAAAATATTCTTGTAGGTCGTAATAGACTTTATCACTTGATAGTTTTGTACATTTCTTTCTGAATGTGATAAAAGGAGTCTCTTTGATTTCATTGGGAAGTTTATTATATATTCTGATTCCATTATATATCAACGAGTTTTGAGTCAAACATGTTTTTGGAATTGGTAGATTCAGTTCATTTGACCGTCTTGTGTAGTATGTGGCTGTAGCTGTAGATTCATAGTTCTCCCTATTTTTTATGTATAATTGACACGGTTTTCAATATGAATATTGAAATAACAGTAAGGATTTTATGTTCTCAAAAAAAGGAATTTACATGAATCTTGCCATTTCGCTTTACATAAGTATCTGATAGCCCTTTTCTGCAAGACAAAAAATAAGTTGTTTACTGCAAACATCCAAAAAGGGTATACCCGAATACCATACCTTAGATGAGGATGAGAATCTATTAAGGCATAGTACACTACTTTCGCTGCAGCAAACACCAGTTCCTTTGAGATGTTTCTCAGTGTGACACATCCTGATGCCAATTTTTTGTTAATGTGTGCAATATACTGAGAGAATTTTAAATTGTCATTTAAATAAATTCCCAAAAATTTCTAAGTGGAGTTATTTTTTATTGTGTTATTGTCTAGGGAATATCAGGTATATTACACTTGAATGCTAATATATATGTTTTGCTGGTATTCAATGATAGAAGATTCGAGTCAAACCAATTCTTCACTTTTTTCATGTCTTGGCACATTTTGTTATGCAATCTGTTTTTTCCTTGTCATGCCACACTAAATTGGTCGTCAGCAAATAAAGTAAACCGTTCTGTAATGGATATGTTGGTCAAATCATTAATGTACAACAGAAACAGTATAGGACCTAACACAGAGCCTTGAGGTGCTCCACAATTTATCTCTGCAACATCCGAGTTAGATGACATTCTTACAAATTGTTTTCTATCAGAAACCAAATATGACTAAAACAATATCTTGTGAGTTTTCGAAGCAATATGCTGTGATTGACACAGTTAAAAGCTTTGGATAAGTCACAAAGCACTATTGCAGTGGATTCCCACTGTTGTTGTTGCTTCCCAATGTTGATTTCATTATACACCAATTGCAATATTGTTGATATAGCTTCACTTGTACTCTTGAAATTCTGAAAGCCATGCTGATGTCACTCAGTTTCCCATTACTAGTCAATACTTCCATTATTTTTTTTTTACTAGTTTTTCAATTATTTTTGCTAAGGTTGGGATGAGCGATACAGGCCTAAAGTTTGCTAGGTCTTCATTGCTGCCGCCTTTATGGAGAGGAATGACAACCGAGTTTTTGAGAATTTAAGGAGAAGGAAATGTTCCTTGCTCGAAGGAGTTGTTAATTTTGAAACAGGCAACGCTTCAAATGCTACATCCCCCCATAAACAACTATTCATTTTAGAACCGACAACATCGCTGAACCTGTCATGCTTGCACTGGCGACGTATCACTTCGATACCATCTCTATCTCTCTTTGCATCGATTACGTCACACACACCTCTAATGAAACATCAATTCTTCCCCAAATTTGAGGATATTTACCTATCTTCCACATGAAAATGACACAATTTCCCGAAAATTCTACGGAAATCAAGAAATGCAGTTAAGTGTAGAAAAATTTCCGCCTCGACAAAACAACCGCCATAAATATAAAAAATTCGTAATTATTTCTAATATCCCACGTTGGTGTCGAGCTCAAAGTAATAAAAAATAAGTAGAGTTGCCCTCCGTAAATAAACACAACATATTTGTAGACAACCAGGATATCCATCTCTCTCACAGTAAAATGTGGTCAAGGGGACAGAGGGAATTGTTTACATAATCCTCTGGACTGGATCCAGGGGTGTGCGGAAAATGCTAATGACTATCAACTATTAATTCTATCGAAAATTCTGGGTTACGCCCATGCTCCATTTGTTGTTTACCTGTGAAATGTTACATCAACATGAAAGGAATGCTAAAATCCACAAACAACGCAGGTTTTCGCCATCTTCAAAATTACTTTTTGCACTACAAGTTAATTATATCGGTCACTAAGCACTCAAATCACCAAAATAACTTCCAAAAACGACGAAATACTAGTATTATCTATTTCTGTTAGTTGGAGAACTGTCGTAAACATGAACAAAGTAATTTGGCTTCAGAAACAAGGACAGAAAGGCATCTCTATTTATATCATTACTCTAAGGTGTCGAGGCTAAGGACATCGTCTACCACGTCAATGGCCTAGGTTCAATTCTCATACCGCTCGCTTTTTTTAATTTAATATCCCTCAGTACGTGACAAGTGCGCGACTAGGGGGCTCAGGGATAAAGACTCGTGCCCCAAGGGGGTCCACGGTCTTTGAATCTCTCCGATTTTCCTTCCATCCTTCTCTGCATCGATTACGTTTCTCTCTCCCACTCCGAAACACACCAACCTCGAGTTGGGTGTTCCACAAGATTCCGATCGGATGTCATGAAAATTGCAAGAAATTTAGCGCCATAACATGGATTTTGCGCTCGTATCGGTGTTGTTCATCTACTGATTTAAATTTTCCGCTGTACACGCGGTAGCTTCTGATCGGTCGACTTTATGTGGGCAAAACTGGAGGAGTAGGTTCTGACAGTCTAAGGCCTAATTCACACAGAATGGACGTCTGGCAGAGACGAGGCGCGGATCTTTGTTCCTTCCAATCTGTGTGAACTGAGCCTGAGGTCCAAAAATCGCCAAAATGGACCTGCTCAAATTAGCACGTGTTTTCCGTAAGGAATGTCATAGAACTTCTATAGCTATAATCACTCAAGCAACTATTGAGAATTGAACTATTGAAAAGAAATGAATAATTGTTCCGTTTTCAATAAATAAGATTTTATTGAAACAAGGATAAAAATAAAATAAAAACAACAATAAAAATTAATTGGCGTTCTGGGGTGACTTCGTTGATTCCAGTGGCGCATTTGCTTTTTCAGCTGCAGGAAAACCCGGAAAAACCTGCAGCACCACATCATCCGAAGATCTTGATCTAACAATGTCCTCTCTCTTATAAAACAAAATGTAGGGTGTCTCTAGAGGCTCCAATAAATTCAATGCATCGCCAGAACACTTCGTGACACGACTATCGTCAAACTTAAACCAGTCCGTTTCGTCTTTGACCAAGGCGTAATAATGACCAAATTCAACGCCAGAACCACAGTGAACAATAACTGCATGAATATTATAATAGTGGTCTGCTAGATTGAAATGTTCATTTATTTCAAACCTTCCAAAGAGTTTCTTGTTTCCGTTAGAGGTTGAGTCTTGTTTGAAGATCATCAGTGTTATTTTTAGATTGACTGGTGCCTCAGCTATACTTATTTTCTTATAAAAGTCAGTTAGATTGGCGTATGTTTGGCAATACAGTCGATCAACACCTGTTAAAAATTCCATTTTCACATGATTTAACAATAAGCTTTGCACGGACTGGTTATTAGTTATTTTCAATTGTTGCTCGTATTTTATTTTATTATAATTTCATTTCGGGGTTCTATGCTTGATATAATTTTTATTGTCATTTATTCATTTCAATTGTATTGATTCTTTCAGGTATTTCAAATCATTTTATATCATATTAGACAATGGAAGAACGAACTAATGAAATTCACCATGAAACATTGTCAACCACCTTCAAACAAACGAAAAAAAAATATTAGGCATGTATATATACTTTATATATGTATATATATCGTGGGGTCCGTGAAAGGAATTAAAATATATTGCATAACGACCCTGAAAAAACAATTGAAAAATTAATAAGATTAACCGAAAATAACAATTTTATTGAACAAAAAACTGAAATTACAAAGAAATAGCATACAAACAACAACCAAACAAATAAAAAATTGAAATATTAGAATTATATTAGACAATGGAAGTCCGAACTGATGAAATACACCACGAAACATTGTCAACCTCCTTCAAACAAAAGGTGGGATCTCGACACTAGAATGAATTATCTAGAATAATAGCGATCGCGATAATTGATCATCATCCAACGAGTTTTCTTCAGAAGATAATGAAAAATATAATACTGTTAGTAATTTTAAACTTTTTGCGGTGGTGGTGGTTTTTGTGATTAATTCATTTTGCGATTTTTTGCAGAATTTCACAAAAAATCAAGATAGACCACTTAGAGCCAATTTAACATAAATTAGATGCAAAATTTTGCTAAAACGGCTTTCTTGATTTTTTTTTGTGAAATGATGCAAATAATTGCAACACCCATATAATAAATCTGAATGTAAAAATTGGAATTTTGGTCTGAAAATTTCAACTCTTGCCTTATTTTAAATTATAAACATCATTAATCACTTTATAAAACTTTGTGTAAAATAATAATGGTACCTATTGTTTTCATATAACATTTTTACATTTTATTACTTCACCAACAACAAAGATGCAAATTTTTCATAATAATGACTGTTTGTCATAAAATTAATAATAAAGATTTCATTCCTCTCAGCAACTCCACTTGAGGACACAATGTAATTAATATAATTCATATATTATTCGTGAATATAAATTTTAAATAGTATCAATACACTTGAAATTAATTTTTCCTCATGAGTTATTTAGTATAATTTCCGCACGCCACTGCAAAATATGGATTAAGACAAGAATGTCAGACATTTCTGAGAATTTAGTGCCTACTATTTAGGAATTATAGAATATTAGGTATGGTATTGCTTCGAGCAAGTCAGATTGTATCTCCCGCGAAGCTCCTTTTTTGTTATGTAATAGGAGGCGCACTGATCAAATGCACCTGGTTGACGAAGCAACGACCATAATTAGAAGAAGATTTGTGATATGACATAAAAAAGTTATAAGATAGAAGAAGATATTCGACATTTTGATCTTGAATATTTTGCGGCGCTTGATTGCTTGTTGGTTTTACCTTACCTGCAAATTTTACTTAAGACTTTTGTAACACACAAAATGTCTAAGCGAAGAATAGAAGTCATTGATCCTTTCATTAAAAAGAAAAGGTACCTATGACATGCATTATGTAAATTAAATTATCTTTTAACTTTTGTAATTTCAGGGAAGAACGTGGTATTAGCACAGCTGTTACCTCCACAGCTCCAAGTGGTTCAACGAACCCATACACAGGTTTACCATATACTCAAAAATATCATGAACTTTTCCGAAAAAGAATTGGGTTGCCTGTTTTCGAATACCGAGCAGATTTTATGCGACTCCTTGCAGAACACCAGTGCATAGTTCTAGTTGGTGAGACAGGGTCCGGAAAGACAACACAGATACCGCAATGGTGCGTAGAATATTCAAGATCGGTTGGTACGAAAGGAGTGTGTTGTACACAGCCTAGAAGAGTTGCAGCAATGTCCGTTGCACAAAGAGTTTCCGAAGAAATGGATGTTGCTTTAGGGCAAGAAGTGGGTTATAGCATTCGATTTGAAGATTGTTCGTCAGCAAAAACTATTCTCAAGTTAGTATTATTTCAAATATTGGTAACTTTTTTGAATGCTAGTTACTACATTTTAAGTTATTTAGAAAAGCATATGGATTTTTGCTAACAAATAAGAGTAAGATTATATTTGTCACAACAATTTTGATTGGCTTGAGATGTTGAAATGACCCAACCTGGGGTAACTTTCTGGGACTAACAGTATGTTTCTGAGACCAACGATTACGAATTTCTCTGAATATGGCCTGATCGCCAGCGTTACAATTTCACCCTTCTCAGTATATTCTCAACTGATCAGTGTCTGCTGATTTGTGAAAGGTGTATGTTGTGACTGTTTTTCTTATTTTTGATTTTACATGATCCATTTCGAAGACTGATGTTAGTTGTCCTGTTATACTGTTTTGGGGTAGTAAAGTGTTAAGTTGAAAAATTATTTCTTGGAAATGATTTATTCTTTTTAATAGTTGGTTAAGGTTTCAGATAAAATTGTTTTCAAAGTGTTATGAGGAAGAAGTCAGAAGACTTCGACAGCTATTTGAATAGGTAGATAGTGATATAGAAATAGCTGAAGACAGTGACGGTAGCCTAGAAGAAGATGAGTTAGATTCAGGAGGAAAACTCAAATACCGAGCAAGAAATATCCGACGATGATATAGAGGAAGTTGCTGCTCTAGAACTCCAAACCAATAGTGCTGTTCGTACCCTTGTTTTATTAGCAGATGGAGAACACGCTCAGACAATATTATAACAAGGTTATCAGGAGTAAAAGGTTCAGCAAAAGAGAAAAACTGCAATTGAAATATGGGGTTTATTTATCACTGACACCATGTTAGAAAGAATTGTCGTCAACACCAACTGACGAATAGAAAGAAAACAATATTCCATGGAATATAGAACACCGAGGCCCATTAATATTGATGAACTGAAAGCCCTGTTTGGGTTGTTTTAAATTGCTGGAAAATTAAAAAAGTGGTCAACAATATATACGCGATCTTTTCAGAACCAATGACATGGGAATAAAGAAGAGACTATGTCTCTTGAAAGGTTCAGGTTTTTACTGCAAAATATCCGAATGGACGATGTTACAACAATATCAGAGAAGATAAAATTAGATAAACTAGCAGCAGTAAGAGAATTTTTTGATGAACTAAATGAAAATTTACTCAAATATTTTACGTTGTGAAAGTATGCAACTGGATGAAATGATATGGTCATTTAGAGGCCGCTGTGGATTCAGAGTCTGTAATCCATCTAAACCCAACAAATATGGGTATATTCTCTAGTAGATGTTTTGCACTGCTAAAATGGAGATCTATTGTGGTAAACAACCAGTGGATCCGTACAGTTTAGACATGTCCAATATTTCACTAGTTCCATATGGGGCTCACACCATAATGTTACTATGGATAATTTTTTTATTACTACTGTCTTAGCTTATGAACTATTAAATGATCATGAGCTGACAGTTACAGGTACACTGGGAAAAACAAACCTCAAATTCCTTACGAAATGAAAATGAAGAGACCTGAAGGAACAACTGTATTAGGGTTTCAAGAAAAGTGTACTCTTCTGTCGTACATTCCAAAAAGAAATATAAATATTTCTCCTCTCGACCTAGCATAGGAAGGATGATACTCTTGATAGTAAAACAAATAAGCCACAAATTATAATTGACTACAAACGTACAAAAGGTGGAGTAGATAACGTTGACTAATTATGTGCAGCGTACGATTGTTCAAGAAATACAAGGCGTTGGCCTATAATAATTTTGTATGGTGCCTTGAACATAGCTTCTATTAACTCATTTTAACAATAAAGATAAACCTCCGATTCCAAGAAGATCATTTATAGAAGATCTTGGATATCAATTGGTAGAAGCTCATGTAAAAAAGCGTGTGAACTCTAAATGGTCTTCCCGGAACAACTAAATTGAGAATACAAGAAATCTACACTGTTGATGAAAATCAAACTCCTACACTTCCTGCACATGGACGTTGTTTCTACTGTTTCATCAAAAAAAGTTGGAAAACTATATTTAGCTGTCACAGGTGCAATAAATTTGTGTTTGGAACATATGAACCCCACATGCAGGGATGCGCCGAAAAATTTGATGAACTTTAACGACAAAATTTCAGTTTCTGATAATTGTGTCGTAACATTTAGGTTGAATTACCAACGTTTTATGGATATACAGTGTGACCCATTTTTAATGGAAACACCCCCCTAAAATTTGAAGTTGTGAATCGATGTTAATAATATTTTTTTGAAATGTCAAGTACTAAAAGGTCTACCTTGGGACAAAATTTGAAATGTTTATTAAAGTTTCAGGGAATACTACGATATTTTTTCTTAGTCGAAAATCGGGATTTTTTATTAGTGATTTTTTTATTGAAAAAATCACTACGCCACTGGATTCAGAGTGCCTCTAAACAGGTGTGACCAAAATTTCATGAAAAATTATTCATTATTAACAAAGTTATGACAACTCAAAAATCGAAAACTCACACAGCTAACAGTCACAATATATATTTTTTTTTAAGACCGAAGAACACAACATTTTAACGGGAGTATAGTCAAAGAATCACAATTCATTTCTGAAGTTTTGAATGATTTTTTTTGTGAAAATTCCCCATGACACTGTCAACGAAATCAACATGAAAATAAATATATTTTTAAAAAACTAAAAAACACGCTTTTGAATGTCAACGAAATCAACATGAAAATAAATATATTTTTAAAAAACTAAAAAACACGCTTTTGAAGAACATCGAACCAAAAAAATAAAAATCTTTTTTTTTATATATATTGCTTCCATATCTAGAACGAATATTTCAAAATGTGGCCTCCTGTATAATTGTTGACCCATTTTTTTATTTTTCCTGCAAATCATTCTTTCAAAAGTTATTCAGGGTGGATCGTTTTTAACTCAAATAATTTGTAGCTCCCGAACCATAAGCTTCAGACCATATGTTTTATACTTTGTTGAAATCTGCTCATCATGAAGCATCTGATAATGCGAAACAATATAGGGTGATCCATTAAAAAAATTGGTGACATGCTCTGGGTGTGCGATAGGGGAAGTAATATCAAATGTGATCATGTCAAAATGTGTCCTCCTGTTTACTATTGTTGACGTGTTTTTTACTGAAAATCATTGTACCAAAAGTTATTCAGGGTGGCACGTTTTAAAAGGAATGCACTGTATTCGTGGCTTACCAAAAATTATCATTTTCCTAGCATGATTGGTAAATCTGGATAAACTCCTATTCAATAAGTCGAAATGTTGGAATATTCAATAAAACAACCTTTTAAAACTACACCTTTCAGATATATGACAGACGGTATGTTGCTCAGAGAAGGAATGAGCGATCCTATGCTGGAAGCCTACCAGTGTATTCTTCTTGATGAAGCCCACGAGCGTACCCTAGCAACAGATATTCTTATGGGTGTGTTGAAAGAAGTCATCAAACAACGGAGCGATTTGAAACTTGTTATCATGAGTGCTACTTTGGATGCCGGAAAGTTCCAACAGTACTTTGACAATGCGCCGTTAATGAATGTCCCTGGTCGTACTCATCCCGTAGAAATATTCTACACTCCTGAACCAGAGAGGGATTATTTGGAAGCCGCAATAAGAACTGTTATTCAAATACATATGTGCGAAGAAATTGCAGGTATACTTTTAGTAATTTTATGACGTGTGTTTAGAGATGAGTGGTGATTTTAAGCAGTGAATGAACTGAATTTGTAATAACTCTATTTATACTGATTTCTCTAAAGCCTTTGACAGGGTAAATCATGATCATCTCATGGCTAAGCTCCTAGCATCAGGCATCAATGGTAACTTGTCAAAATGGATAAAGAGTTATTTGGATAATAAAATTCAGTATGTTAAATATGCTGGTTCCATATCACAAATTCCTGTAACGTCTGGTGTCCCTCAAGGATCGCATATACAGGCTGATTCACGGTGGATGGCACATTAGACACCAGCGTGACCACATTTCATTTGAGAAATCTACCTACGGTGTCATGGAAAATCTATTGAAATCTACTGCAATATATTTGAAGACCATTGAAATAGTGGAAATTTGAGTTTTCGACCACTAGGTGGCGCTTGTAAAGAAATTTGAAAAGCATCACTAAATCTAGAATGCCTCGGCCGTCTTACGCGTATGGCCAATGGTCGTGGTCTGATACTTGAAAGAGCAAGTTGCTTTCTAGTTGGTTCTCTGTTGTTGGTTATTTTTAACACTGGAACTATTTCAAGTATTAGATTTCAACATTCAAAAACAGGAATGTTTCCATGTTTGAAATGAAACCTTCAATTATTTGAAAGTCTGAAAACGAAAGGTGAAATGAGGTTATGTATTATTATCTTCTTCTTCTTTCTTTATTCGGAGGTCGGAGATATTCTGAAAACAGTAACAAGCAATTGGAAAATTGATATTTTATGATCTGTATCCATTTTGTGTTCTGTGTATCGAAGCGGACAGAACCTAGAAACAATGAATTCATGTCGCAGGTATGTAATTATTGAGTTGTCAGTTGAATTATTCATCTACTGATAACAGGTTTATCGCGAATTTGAATATCCATAAATATCTCATAAACAACATGAACATTTTTGAAAACTATCACGAATTTTCGAGAGAACTTCTGTTAGCAATTCAAGACCTGAATTTGAGAATACCCTGTAATTTTTCTCTCCACAAATGCTACTATTATAATCTCTATAACCTGGTCTCTGAAATTCCGTCCCCAACTTGGATAAATTCGAAGAGGTTGGGCTTCAAAGTGAACTCCCCTCTTCATATCACTATTTCAGTACATCAAAATAAACTCACACGTAAATTCATTTGGATAGAGCTAAATAGACAAAATCAGGTGAAAGTAGGTAATTTGACACTTAGAGGGATCATATACTCCATAAATTCATATGGGTCCCAAACCTTGTGCCCTGATTATATTGTTTACCCATGTCACTCTGTTGCGAAATGATATATCATGAACAAGCAGTATAATGAAAGGATTTATAGGTATTTACCCTCCTCTGCTGGATCCAACTGAAACCCGAACTCTACTTGGAAATTCGTGAATATTCGATGAGTTGTATTATTCCAATTTAGTGTCCTGACTGATGTTACACACGTTCATTATCAGTGATTGTGTTCATGATCTCCTTTGCAACAATTTCCAGAAGATAATTAAAACCCATAATGCAACGATATTATTCGAAAAAAACCATATGGAGAAAACTGTCATTAGAGAAGTGAAAAACAATGAGATTTTGGAGATTTCTATCAAACATAAAAATGAAGGAATGAAGAACTCTTTCTTCTGATTTGTCAATTTCAATTGTTCAGATATACAAACCTGTTTTGAATTTTGCGTTGGTTATTGATTGTGTTGGCTCACTGCACAAATTGCACAATAATGTATTCATTTTATGGACAAATATTGATTCAACTACTGACAGTTCCTTTTCAGATACATACCCGGCTCGAAGGACCACATGTTGAAAAATGAGTGAACTGTAGACTGTGCGGTTTTACGAAAAAAGTATAATGAACTTTTTACAAGATCATAGAATGAATTTATCTGATAGAAAAGAAAGTGCTGTTTACTGATATCTTTCAGATGACATGAAAAAAGCTCTATTCTTTTTTTGCACTGGTGACACTTGTGATGCAGGAGTTTTGGGAAGCAATTGTAGAAACTGTAGTCGCAAACGATTTCACGGCAGTAATATTTCAGATAACTCGTATGTACCGTTCAGCTAGGATTATCTGAATATTTCCTTTTTGAATATTTTTTAGAATACTCAAACATAATAATTGCCTCATGTCACGGACCTGCGTATCTCTGAAAACACTGTCACTTGAGTATGTTCGGCCGTTGTGAAGTATTATTTTTAAAATCCACTTTTGAATTGTATCAAGATTCACCAAATAACAATCTTCAACTCCTCCCCATCCAATTATCCCGTACGACAATTGAGACTGAACAAATGCTGAATATAGAGTTTTCAAGTGTTTCATGTCTAGGAAGTTTCTGAGATATTGGAATTTTGAAAGTGTACCTCTCATCTTTTTTACTGTTACTTTTATGTGTATGTCCCAATGAAGGTGCCTATCAATTGTTACCCCTAGATATCTAATTGAGTTACTTTCAGTTATATAGTAATTATTGTTGATATTGGGTTGTCCAATATCAGGAAATCTATTGGAGTATGACGTAATTCGTTTTATCGAAGTTAATTATGAGTTTGTTCTGTCAAAACCAACTTTCCTTTGATAGAAAATCTCTTTCTACACATAACTTGAGTTGTTCCCACGTAGATCCTGTGTATAGGATGACAGTGTCGTCCGCAAAGCTCAAGACCTTACTTCTTGTATCAAGAAGGAGCAGTATATTCGAGTAAATTGTGAAAAGAACAGGGCCAAGAACAGTTCCTTGAGGTATTCCAAAGCCTATAGTTTCCGGATTACTCATTGTATCACCTATCCTGACCCTCTGTTCACGATCATTCAAATAACTTTTGGAGAGTTCATACGCCTTCTCGCGAATAACAATGTTTTCCATCTTTTCTAAAAGTTTAGGGTGACTCACTGTATCAAATGCTTTAGAGAGATCGATAGATCCATGGTTTGTCCTTTGTCACATATCGATGCGAAAATTTCTGTTTGTTATGTTGGAACATGGTCAAACACTGCTCAAAATCATCAAGAAGTTGTTGTTTTTAGTCAACAGTGAGTTTGCGCGGCACTCACTTCGAATAGAGCTTTCTCATAGTCAAATGGTCATGCAATATAAAGTCAATGAAGGTTAGTACTAACTGAAAAAGCTGTGAATGCAATAAAACAAGCGCCATCTATGTGTTAGGCCCGATAATTTTTAGCCCATGTATAATAGTATAGTAGATAAAACATTTCAGTTTTCTGAAATTCCTCCAAATGAATATTATATTTCTTGCACTCTTCCACTGAATGAGTGAAAGTACTGAAGGCGTTGAACAAATATGTTAATGAAGCTCATAAATTCGCGAGCTTTTCTGTTAGTATCGGTATCGTGGCAGAAATGCAAATTGAATGCGAAATAAATCATCACGACTCTACTACACGAGAATAATTTTTCCAATATAGCCCAGATAGAACAGGATCCTTTTTTTGTTTGAACACGTCTCAGGAACGATGTTTCATGAACGCCTTGAATTGAATCATGTGGAATCTGATTCACGTGGAAAAAATATTTGTTTGAAGGTGATTGACAATGTTTTTTTGGTGCATTTCATTAGTTCGGACTTCCATTGTCTAATATGATATAAATTGATTAGAATTAAAAAAAAATATTAATGAAAAATGAAAATTAAAAATTAACAGATTCCAAACCAAGTTACTTCACGACGTTTCGATTGTTAGTATCCACAATCGTCTTCGGGTGATAAGTGGACTTATTCCTCCGAAATCTGACTATTTATAGGTCATTCGAGTGCTTTCACCTATCCCCTCTTCCCTCTCTCCGCTTCAACGGTTTTAGCGGGAGCTGAACGTTTGGCGGGAGTTGGTCGTGTTCCGCTTGATTAGAGGTTTCCATATGTTGCGTATCTCTACGCTAACTTGGCTGTTGAACAGTATATATGCGGCTTCCCTGAATTTTCTCTCAAACCAGTGTTCCTCCTTGTAGATGATTTCAGCTAGAGCCCACTTGATGTTATGTTGATGAGTCTAAACATGTTCTGCTATTCCTGACTTGCTGGTATCTCCCCGCTGTGTGTGTGTTTCTTGTGAGCTGTAATGCGAACTTTCAATGGCCTCTAAGTTTCAGCTATCTATAATTCTCCGCACTCGCAGGGTATCCGGTAAATACAATTCTTAAAATCGCAGTCCGCGTTGGGAGGCCTAGTTTTCGTGAGGCTGCTACTTATAGTGTTCCCAGATCTGAAGCAGGTTTTGGTGTTATACTTGGACCCATTTCTTCTTATCCTTTCCGACAATCCTCTGATGTAGGGAAGTACAAGCACTGGTTGTGGCGGCTTCTCTTCCTTGTGTTGCTCTTGCTGTCTTCTAGCTAAAGTCTGTTCTACCATCACTTTGGAGTAACCATTTCATTGAATATCATTTTTGATGATGTCTAGTTTCTTTTCGAGACCTTCATTCCGTGCCCGAAAGCACGGTCTACTAGAGACTTGATGATTCCTCTCTTAGTCGATTGATGGTGGTTGGATTCCTGGTTTAGATACTGTCCTGTGTGAGTGGGTTCTCGATATACAGATATTTCCCATTTAGTGTCGGTCGTCTTCACCAATACGTCTATAAGAATGGCAATTCGATGTGGACTTCCTTTTCCATTGTGAAAGTTATGAAAGGATTAACGTTGTTGATGTGCTTGAGGAAGGTGTCTAGTTCTGCATTCTCATGGTTCCATATTATGGAGGTATCGTCAACGTATCTCAATCAGACTTGGGGCTTCTTGTGGGCTTCTTGTGGGCTCCTTCAATGGCCAGAGTTTTAAACCACTCCATATATATGTTGACTATAACTGGTGAAAGTGGCAGTCCCTCATCTTGCGTAAACAATTTGTCCTTTAGTTGGAAGTAGCAGTTTCGTACACAAAATCCTAGTAATTCCATGATTACTTTGAATTGAAGGGGTTATATTTTTAGAAGTGAATAATTTTTTGGGAAAGAAAGTTTTTGGCTTTCTACTACTC